TACGCCGCGCAATACATGTCGCCTTAGGTCCGGAATCTCTTCGTAATACGCATAACAACGTTCCGTAGCTACAAACGAGGAAAATAAGGCTACTTGAAGAAGATAGAAAAACAGACAGAAAAAGTAGGCATAATTATTACTGCCGTATAATACAACGTCGAAGAACAGGCAAGATAGTGCGACGACGAATGAGAGGGTGTAGATAGATCAGTCTGCTCCATTTATTTTAGATGTAGTACTTTCAATTAATTGTCCCTCACCGCGACGCAATACCAAGCTCCTGACATAGCCGTTGACAATAATATCCAGGTACTACAGTGTTCCATGACTTTGCGGGGCTCACACACACACACACACACACACACACACACGCACACAGTAATCACTCGAAATAATGTGTTCCTATCCATAGCTGGAGCCAAGTGAGAAAAAGTGGCGGCGTGATGTACCGTGTGTAGAAGTGGCCGAGTCTCGGATTCATGGATGAGCCTGTAAGGAGTCGGGAAACCCATTAGGATACCGCCGTGAAAGCCGCCCACCACCGGTGTGGGTCAAGAGGCCAATAATGCTTTGACACCCGACGAGGTTGGTGCAGAATGCTTTAGATAATGTCATTTTCGCTTTTGGCGGCACCGCGTGATCATCTACAATGCAATCTTCCATGCCTTGCTTTTTCCATCCACGCACTGCCGATCCAGGTTTCAGTTTATATATTTTTCAACCTATTGTTTTCAACGTCGACTCTGTCGGTCGAAGAAGCATGGGAGTAGATAACGCTACCTAAGCGTTGTTGACACTCTGGCCGTCTAGTTCCAACACAGACGAGCCCATCTCGATAGAGTTGACCTCGTCGTCGAACGTCTCTTTACACCCTTTATCAAGGAGCGGCAAGCCTCCATGCCAGATATGTTTTCCTCGGTAGTGGCCACCAGCCCCCCTCTCCCCATAGATCCAAATTATCACCGCGTGGAACTGAATGCTGATGAATGGATTGCGCAGTACTAACAAAACACCCACCCCCTCTCTCCCCTTCCTCGCTTATAGTGCTATAATGCGAACGCCTACATGTGGTAGGGCTGCCAAGGCAGATTATGTGTATACGGCAGCCATCCAGGCTCCTATGTGCGGTGAGGAGGCACTTCGGGTTATGGTCGATTGGGTTAACCGGGTTCATCAATACGGATACCAGCATTGGAACAGAAACAAATCCGGGCCATTTGAGCCGTGACCGAGCCGTAGCGCGAAACGAAGTTGACGTTATAATCGGTATCATGGAAGAAACGCAGCCACGATTTAACACTAGCCATTCACCTATTCGATACGTTTTCCAGACCATCTAGGACCATGTGAGAGATAGAGGACACACTTTCGCTCCTATAAAGAAGTCGCCCAGGCGGCAGGACTCAGTCGCCGCCGGGTCAGAAACTAGTTTGAAGTGGTGTGTAGGCATTGGCATGGCTCCAGGTTCCCAGCGTCACTGGAAGGAAACGCATCCAACATAATTCGATGGACTTATATTACAAGTCTAGGCCAACAAGGAAAATACGCCGTTTACACACCATTTCGATAAATAATACTTAACCATGCGTAGGTGGGACTGTCGGAATATGCCCCAGCTCTTGCTGTTGCAGAGTAAGCTGCTGGTGTTTCTTGAGACATATTGATCAAAGCCGCTAATGTAATAGATACGCCCTTTATGTCCTAGTTCTGCATGACGTAATAAACCACCCATCCCTTCAGGAATTGTTACGCATCACATGAGATACGGTACCGCTGCGAGTGTCTCGATAGGCAGAACGGCAAATCAAGGTTGACTATTGGCAGCCAAAATTATATCGCGTCTTCCTCGGCGCACTATTTGGCGGCTCTCATTTAACCAATAGCTAATTGCGATACTCCCAGGCTCTGGCAGTTGACCACAACATAATCGCGCTATTGATGGAACGGGTATACAACACACAAGCGGCGATGGATCAAAACGGTAGTATGCTCGATAAATGCTACGGGGATTGGTATGTAACATTGCTAGATATGCCAGTCTAGAGTAAAGGAGTCAATCGCCAAGTTCTAGCATTCGTGGGAGCTTCTGCTTAGATTGTGGTGAGACACTTTGAATGCCGGAATATTAAGACAGTGCGGACCAAGTTACTATATGGCGAATAGGGGTTGAATTGCCAAGAGGTTTCAGAAGCTCATATTTCGTGCAGCAATTCTTCCTCGCTTACACGACCTGGCCAGCCAATATGCAGCCAGCATCGGGATTCAACCCCCCGGAATCCGTTTTCTAACCTGAAATTCAACGCTTTTCGTTGAGCTCAACTGCAGAATTCCCACCAGTGCTTGATTATATATGGCACGTGTAGTCTGGATAGGGTGTACAAAGGTCCGACACATGGGCTCGTCTACATCTACACGTAGTTGCTATTATTTGACATAGAAAACAGAAAAGCAATGGACGAAAAAGTCTATATCAAAGATATTAAGCGCTATACGTGAGTCATGGCCACCGGATACTGTGCAAAATGTGGACTCAAAGGTAGATGAGACTACTTCCTCTGATTCGAAGAACCCGAACGCCAGCCGCAGGAAATACTACGGGGCTATCGTATTGCCTCAAACGGGTATCCCGAAGGATGGAGGTTTGTATAGGACTCCGCGATGAATATACATCACTTTGCTCCAGAAACACGGGCCTTGTTCCGATCCAGTCGTCTCCCTATCACGGAATAGAACTGCGACACCAACCACAACACTACAAAATAATAAGAATAGAGCATTGCCAAGTCGGGGCTTGACCATCCACACTTACTTGTATATACGGCGAGGGCTCTAACGTTCCCAACCAACAAACTTTCCTGGTATGGAGACTGCTCATTTAGATTTGAAACAGACTTCCAATAATTTAGAAACAGAAACGAGAATAAGATACCGGGCCTCTATTTATTGGACTTTTGCCATTGGGCACCAATCCTACAAAGCTATCTTCACAATTAGAGTCCTTGTCCTATACGAAACAACAATCCATATATTAGGTACGATAGAGGCACACTCGAACGCCCTGAGGGTAAATCGCCAGTCGCGTATTAGAGAAAACGGGCACCGACTGGGTCGGTGGTCTGACCTATTTTCACTAGCGACGCCTGCCTATATGTGCTGGATCTTTTGTGGACGCCGATCTCCTCGGTGTCGGTCCCCCACTTAAGTCTGACATTAGATGCGCATGTGGTCATTTGAATTCCGCTTCCGGCCGTTATATTCTCACCGAGGCTCCCTGTCCCCTATTAAACTCGACGGCCAACATGGCGCAATATAGGCTTCCCTGGTGATCCGGCCTTGGAGGGGTAGAGAAGTCCGCACACAAGCCGCGTTCCACAACAAAGGCCGAGCGGCATCGTATCCTTTCGTAAGCCTGCGATACCTTCAACCCACGAGCTGCACATTCCCTTGACGGTCACCAGGCAGACCAGCCTGTCGAAAGCGTAAAATCTAGCACGTAGTGTTCCCCTCGCAGCCTACACCGGAATTACGTAGCCCTCACGAATCTATCCAGCGCCACACCAATAGGAGCCCGTATTCCCTCTTATCCCTTTCGAGCCATTTCACACAATGGTATACGTACATATGGCTTGCCAGCCGAACCAATACAATAGCTAATACGAGCTCACTTCGTAGGCTCTCGTGACATTCACTAGCGTCACAGTTGGTACATTCCTAGAACACGACTCCTCGCTTTGAAACAGAGTCCATAGACAGATTGTCCGTTCTCGGAGCACAGGGGTTTCGATAAAAAGAAATAAATAAAACGGGCAAGAAGATGCTAATGCATTTTCAGTGGTCTAAATATCAATGTAACCACACCGATACAAGCTGAAGCCCAATTCTTACCTCACGAAGGGAGCAGAGGCGTACATGGAATGTCAGCTATCAGACACTGCACCAATACCCGCCTCACGTTTGGAGACACTTAGGCCTGGAGTAGCTCTACAACGGCCTAAATACTACAAGCCGACATCCCAGATTATTGGGCGAATTGCCCAGACTAACGCATATTCAAGACTTGTCACAGCCATCCAGAGAAAGATTGATTGATTGATTGATAGTGTTTAACGTCATGGAGGTACTTAGTACCCAAGCCTCCTGAAGGGCATCGAGACGTGGTAAGCTGTTCTATATACATAATACAGGCTGCAGAAACCAATTTCTACCCTTATTAGATAGGTAAGTCATAACTCCGTGTCCACTCCTCTTAGGACTACCGTGCTTTGTACGGTCGGGACGCTTTAAGCGTGAGGTATAGGTTATTCGGGGGCGCTAGGGAAGTCGGGCGCATTGTCGGTTGTGGCGCTCCTTGGTACCAAGAGCGCAAGTGTTAGACGCCAGGGTGGAGGGCTGGCGTTGATGGATGCGGTTTAACCACTGCCGAGTGGAGGCCAGCCAGAAGGGGAGACAGGTATTCGGGCGCATGGCGGCAAATGCGCAGTTCGAGGTTTGAACGCATGGTCTTTTGCGCTCGTAGCCCACCATTTAGGACGATCATGGTATTGGGGCTTATCTTTCGGGGGTCAGTTTATCCACTTGACCAGGTGGTCATCCAGAGAAAGACATACCCAGATAGGCGTCCCCCCCCTAGCCCCCCCCCCTCGGATGGCGTACATAATCGGCGAGCATTCATGTAAGCAGCTCGGTTTCAGCGAGAGCGGTACAGGCAGGCTGGTGACTCCTGTACAGCACGACCAAAATTGACAGACACCTTGTTCACTAGTGTCACGGAATAGAACTGCAACACTATGCCACGACACTACCAAAAGTAGAACGTTGTCAAGTTAGGAAACTTGACCGTTTGCAGGCACTTATATATGGGATCGTGACAACTAGCTCGGAGTTCTACGTCAGGTGAAAGGGAGGACGCTATGCTGCGTGTGTGGGCTTAGCTGCGTCTCATCTAATTATAGACACTAAAATAACTCTGGATCATCATCTGCTATAGTAAGCATCTATCTAGATTGGTAGCTCAGTGGTAGAGTAATCGACTATAGTTCGCTACGTCATAGCAATCCCCATTCCATCTTCTCGGTGTCCTCTTCGTACAATTAAGTTGATGATACGGAAGGTAAATGGCCCTTATTTTTGTTGGTACTTAGTAGGTTAGATTCCCATGCGATCCCTGCAAATCTTACTAGCTTAGCCTGTTTGCCCGTCCCAAGTTATAGCTTTGCTTAGCAAGGCAAAAGCTAGAAATTATGGTTGAGGATCACAATGAGGTGTGTAATGTCACGTGGCATATATTAGGTTATTCATCATCCCCTGACCGCTAGACTACACTAATAGTTGTTTCTCTCTCTTTATTTGTGTTTAATCTATAAAGTAGTCCCAGGCTACTTATTACATGAGGGCCTACCTACCTAGTTTATATAGTTAATTGACATTTTCGAGTAAGCATAGCGTGACTTGAATACGTCGTAATATCGTAGCAACGTCGATGCTGAGCACGCGCGTATTTCATCTGTCCTTTTTCTCCTGGTCAAAAAAAAAGAAAAAAACCCTCTGCGTTTATGACCATCTGCTCGTATGCGATAAAAGGCACAAGGGTCAGAAAATACAATTAGTGACAGGGTGTTTAATATAATTGGGAGAGCACGAGCGCACATTTGAAGTACGATGGCACATAAATTATAGTGATCGTACCGCTTTGAAGAGCCACTAAAGTCCTAACCGTCGATTACGTCGCACCGAACGACGAAAGCGAAGGCGGTTTATATAACAAGGGCTTGTGAGGGGCTTGGAATGTCCTTATATTAATGATAATCGTCTAAGGTGTCAAAGGCTCCTTGGTTCCTCAGAACAAAGGGACCTTGGAATGGCAATCTAGCCAGGTTTATATACACCAGTCGGCAACTATCCCTCGCCGGAAGTTGCCTTCATTCTAAGAATGTCTGGGTATTTTAAGTAAGGGATATATTAGCTGAAAGAGGTCTTAGTAGTCCAAGTAATACTCTGCGAACTAGCGATACTCGCGGTTAAGTGCATCCCGTGTGCTACGATCAGTCTTTCAGCTAATATATGGTGTTACGTATGACACACTGCTTGGAACTGCATCCCGAGTTGGGAGGGCTCAAGAGACCGGGAATCTTCTTACGCAAGATACACTAGGATGGTCAGTACGCAAGAACCCTATTCAATTCTAGGCATTTGACTTTCTTCGTCGACAAGTCTCATAAGGCCGACTCGAAACATAACCATACATGCAAGGCAGAATGCCCACTCTGCCATATGATAACCCTCCCCTTCAACGGGAGATGCATTCGCGCATCTATGCCTATTCCATATCGATCCCGGGTGCTGGAGGATTCGATACAAATATCTCATCGAATGGTGGAAGCCCCCGACGGCAATAGGCGGGATCAGAGAACAGGAATTATAACAATGCGGGAAGGAGGATTTGGTATAGTGGGAGTCGTTGACTTAAGCGAATAAGATGTAGGCTTGATGAAGATCAAAGTAGGCATCGATTTCGGCCATAGCCCGGTGTTTTTTTGCCACCGAAGGAAAAAGATCCAATAATGATGTCCCACCTTAGTAGGCTATAAGCACGATCTTCGATGCGGATTGCTCTGCGACGGGGCTGCCTATGGCATCCGCCTAGCAATTGAACGACTAAATATCGACGCTCTGCCACGAAGCACGAGTATTTGATTTTAGCCGCCATGTAAATGGCAGGAACCAAGTCTGCCTCAGTCCCAACGAAGGTGGTGACGCGGGCGACGGAGGGCGGGTTAGAAACTTTTTAGTCAAAGAAAAGTGGTTGAACGAGAGAGAGAAAGAAGTAGAGAGAGTATGAGGGAGGTGAGAGTAAGGGGCGAGGATTGACATGGGAAATATCATGGATATGTGGCCATGAAGTGCCTCCCACCCGGCAGCAGCGTTTACGGACTATGATAGATAGCGTGCGTGGGATAGAGTGGCAAGGCTACTCCCTGAGCTGAGGCAGAGCAAGCGGGAATGTGTCCTCTAAGGTGACGAAGCCTATAAAAGCCGAGAGGGACAAGGTTCGAATCAGGCCGATATACGTGACCCAGCGAAGAGCCTTCTACATTCTACATCTAAGACTAGATTCACGCTGTTTTTACCTGCATTCAACGGATCGAGGTCAGCCTTTAGCAATAGGGTAAATTTATTCATTCAAATCGTATTAGCACCTAGGTAGCCGGCCCATAACTACCCACGTCCAAGGTACTAGCACCCAGCAGACGCTTATTTCTTGGTGAGGGGCTCGCCATCGGTGATCTTCTGGGCACCGTACTTCTTCGGCCCGATGCCCTGGATATCAATGAGGCCACTAGGGAACGGCTAGTACCAAGCGCAACTTCTCAATGTTTAAGAAAGTTTGAACCCACGAAGTATCCTCAGGGCTGAGGCCCTCAAGAGTGTCTATTGAAGCCTCAGACTCAGAGTAAAGGTTGCTGGTCTTGCTGGAGTGTCCGATGACGTAGGCGTCGCCCTTGTAAGCCATCATGTTGACCTTGCCGTTGACGCCCTTCTGGGAGAAGGTAACGGAGTTCTCAAGGAACCCACGCTCGGGGCTAAAGTACGTGTCGTTGTACAGACCTAGACCGCCCGCTGGTGACGAACTGATCACGGAGGTGGCGGACGTTGCTATCAAGGGTGAGACCCTCGATGTCAATATGGGCAGGATAGGCAGTCCAGGGGCGTTGTAGCTGTTCGATCGTTAGTATAAGAGCGGGCAAAGACCACAAATACAGATATCGGGCGAGGAAAAAGGGGTTAAGAAGGGATAAGGTAACCCACAAGCCTCGGCTTTTCTGTATGAAGGGTATTAGTCAGTGGTTTCATGTCGAAGACTGAGTAAGCTTACCAGTCCGATGGATCAGCTCCCAACAATGTCGACACGACCGACACCATGGTCGGGACCAATCTTGCTCACGGCCTTGAAGAGCTCGAGTGAGCCAGTGGTCGTCTCACTTCCGACCTCGAGCTTAACGGGAATACCCTTCTCGAAATGAATGGAGAATTTCAGGGACTCACTGGGGGCCGCACGAGGATCTATCCTATTGTCAACCCTTATTCATACAGCATAGAGAATAATTTACTTACCGACTATGCGGGTCTAGAAGTCGGTGGCGTGCTTCAGCTCAGGCTTCCCCTACGGGAACACCTTTGTGAGCAACAAGCACTGGAAAGCCCAGACATCCCAGCATGGAAAGCGGCTTACAAGCACACCACTTTCAAAAGAAGTGTACGACATTCTCATCTTGACTCTACGATTTCTTAGGAATCTAGTCGACGGGAAGCTTGCGCTTCGCGGCGAGCTCCGGGTGACTTGGAGAACTTGGGCTCCCTCTAAGGGGCAAAGATCTTTAGGGAAGCGTTAAGAGCCCGCCAGGCGAACTCGAATCAGACTTCGCCCCCTTACTAGTCCATTCCAATCACAAGTCAGTGTGCATGTCCTCGTGAATGCTGTTGCCTGACCTGATATTAGTCCAACAAATGGGTATATTGAGCAGTTGTGACCAACATTGAACGCTAGGCCAGATGAGCTCATCGACGTACTCCTGCTACGGGTTGTCAGATCATGGCCTCGCCACCGAGAGCTGGAGCCTTCTTCTCGACGGCTTGACCCACACGTTCGCACAAACTGGTCATGATAAAAACTTGGCCATGTTCTGAAGCATACCAGCGAGGTCTTCCTCTTGACCAACGTTAGCTAGGAAGCACAAATTGCAAGTTAGACAGTGACCAGTCGTGCCCCTTGAATTGATCATTACCTGGGCAATTGTGCGAGACATACAACTACGGTATAACCCTGCGAATTACGATTATTATCAAGTCCGAAGATAAGTTAAGCCGATTGTACTCTGTCGTAGAAATTTCATGATCTCACATAAGAGGAAAGTTCTTGAGGATTTCAGGCTCTCTGATTACAGTATGAAGGACAGTATATACTGTATGACAAGACTGTGAAGTTTTCTATATGTAGAAATTACTAGGTTAGATAATAGAACTTCAGCCCCCTGCATAGCAGATAATCCTACATAGTTTACGTAGCTAGGTATCTATGTAGGATTGATCTTAGATATTTGCCCATTAATTTATTTGGTCTTGTGTATAATAGCATAGAATCAAAAATTACCCTCGAACCTCTCTCTCAGTATACTTAGGTCAGGGGATGTTGAGTTATACTAGTAGTATCAGGTACCTAGGTACCTCTGGAGTGTCGGAGCGCCCCCTTCCCCACTTAAAACAGCTCTCATACACCACCACAATCAAGGGTTGCAGTGCGGGTATCTACCTAGGTTAGGTATCTACTATAGCGTATCCATCAGAGCGGTAAATCCCATACGCCATAGCTATCTCTACATACCTGGGTTAGGTAGCAGACAGGCAAAGATATATATGACTTATCTCGACCACTTAGTAGTTTATTCATCGATCAATCGAGGTGATGGTTTTTCACATTAGATATAGAAACAGGTCACGTACGACTATACTGCTCATACAGTGTCTAGCTATCATAGGTATCGTATCGCGTATTCGAGTGAAGGTGCTTTTTTTTGCCCTGAAACCCCCCTTGGATCTCGCTTCCACGGCCACACCCCCTGCCCGCCGTTGACCAAGACGTCGCAGCCGCCCCTGATCCGACATCTGCCATCCGTATCGTATCGTACCACTGCTGCGACCCTTGAAAATACTACTAGTAACAGGTTACTACCTCTATTACTTAGGCACTAGTATGTGCAACTGACTAACGCACTTCATCATCATGGACCGGTAGCGCCATACCCAAACCGTGCTGTCTCAGTCTCAGTGCCGCACCAACCCCCAATCGCCGTCTTCTTCTCCCGCCATTTCTGCAATCTTTCTTCTCATACCAACTTCTTCATTTCTCTTCCCTTATGATCGTGCTTATGCTTAATTGCCAAGTGTGATCTACGCTGTGCGTATTGTGTGTGTGTGTGCGTGTGTGTATTCGCTTCTCATCTCTTCCGTTTTCCGTTTCGTTCCAGTCTATCGCTGCTACGCTACACTATTTGCGAAGACAAAACTCCGACTT